TTGTTTATTTAAAATGAAAAAAAAACAAATATTTACTCTTTTCAGATACAGCATTGTCAACTTCCATATCATTATCACGACTTTTTAATTTTAATTTGGCATTCATGTAAGCTAAATCACCATTTGGTCCTTTTTTAAAATTTATTTTAGAAAGAAGTGCATCTGTTAAACGTACCTAAATTCATTATATAATTAATGTTTTTCGAAAAAAAAAAATTAACTTTGTATAATAAAAATTTATTTTTACTTGGTATATATGAGATTCAGTTGTTACATTCAAACATTGTCCAATTTTAGGAGTAAAAACTTTACTATCAATAAATACTTTGGCAAAATTGTAAACAACCTTAGTACTGTATGGGTTGCCTCTAACTAAGATTAAACGTCTAGGTTTTAATGCAAGTACAATTTGTTTTATTGATTCTCCATCAGAGCGACCTTCAAAATCAATATGTACAATTTTGGCCGCAACATAAATGATTTGTTCATACTCCACACACTTGGATGGAACGTCATATGAATCTGTTTCCTCATCTTCATCACATATTTTATTTTGTTCATCTACCATGGGTTTGTTTCCCGGTGCTACATCAAATTTTATAAAATCTTCTTGTCTAAAATTAAATATAATTATTAAAGTTGATAACTTAAAAAAAAAAAATAACAATCATACTTTATAATTTCACCATATGGGTCAAATTTAGATTTTTCTTCGTAGTAAGGAAACATAGGAGGAAATTCTTTTTTGGAAGATTTTTTGGAAGTTAATGTTTCAGCATCTACTAATAAATCATATTTGCCTCTCATAGCCTCTAGTTCATCTTCAGAATCGGAACTTACTGGATCACTATTAACATTTGAGATTTTATTATAAACTATAATGTAATTATTTTATACTAATACTAGAAAATATTGGTATGGTTTAATGATTATTAAATCTGGATGAAAAAATAATACATTTTACTGGCTTCCAATTTTTCTTCGTTATGTTTTATATTATATTCTTCCAACTCATTATCATCTAAAGGTACACGTTTCTTGACAATCAGTTTAATATTTCTATTACCACCCTCATCAATTAAATCACGAGCTAATGTACCAGGAGCAGTTCTATAATAATGTTAAAAGAATTAATATTGTTGTTTATAAGTATTATATTTTTAAATTACCTGTCTGTAAGAATAATACTGTTTTTTGGATTAGAAGCCCACATGATAAAAACTTCCCTTGAAAATCCACTTTCAAGATCACCATTGCTAGCTAATACAACCTTGATATTTGAAAATTAAATTAAAATGTTATAATTTACTAAATAATTATATCAGAAAATTAATCAAGGACCCATCTGGTATCCAGTGTATTAAATACAAATAATCCATTTCTAAAAAATACTTTTTATACCTAGTGGTTTTAAAAAAAGGGTCACTTTTTTCATAAATTTTTTTTATTAATAATCTAAATTCAATTTCACTATGATAAAATCATTGATTAGAGTATATTATAGTGTTTTGAAAATAAAGTAGAATGAATATTATCATAAGAAATACATTTTGATGTTTATAATAATTAGCTGATGAATATAACAAACAAAGAATTTCACTATGTTTAGTATGAAACATTCTATCCTAAAATCATCACATAATATTTTTATTTTTACTTATAGTCAACAATGATTGGTGGTATTGAAAATGAAAAAATAGTATGACATAAAGTATGTAACTCATAAGCATAGCCCTATTTATTTCTTCATATTTAGAATTTGGTGTTATAAAAATATTTTTCAGAAATATTTGGTAATTAAACACTTCTTTCTAAAACAAACAAAATTGCTATACTGTTAATATTCTTGTATTTTTTGTCATCGGATATATTATTAACATTATTATTTAATATATAATCTAATATGAAATAAAATAACATACTTTAGGTTCAGATACTTTGCTTAAATCATTCATGTTATGACATAGTTTTACATGCTTAAAAAAAAATGGATTATTTCTTGCACCTTCAAAACTTTTCATTAATTTATCACTCATCCATTCAATCTAAAAATGCATTTTATTAAAATTAAATTAACATTATAAACAATAAAACAAGTGGAAACTTACTTGAGACTTTGCGAATTCTACAGTATTGTAGCTAACATTTGTTAAAAATACTAATGAGTACACACCAAGACCAGATTCTTTATTACGCCACAATTGATCCAGCATATGCATCAATTCTAAAACACGACCTGCCGTATCAATTGCCATCAAAACATTGCCTTTGACACGTAATGTTGTCAATATGCAAGCTGAAAAATAAAAATAATTTCAATACTTTGCAAATTATGACAGGTCAAGTATTAAACATTTAAACTAACTCATTAAAGCTTCATCGCGAGATCTACGCCTGGGTTGTGAATAAGCAGCATTAAAACAATCCAATATTAGTAATGATGGTCTTCCAAGCCTTTCTAAGTCACTGCCATTCAAATGTCTTTCTTTTTTATGATTGAAATCTACAGCATAGACAATATCCTCTTCGCCAACTTTAGATATTCTCCAAATTGTACCGCCAACCATATGGCCAGCAGGCAATGCTACTATTCTTAAACCAATCCCTTTACCTAAATTAATTAATGGGAAACAATGTATAATTGATTTAACTGACTCAATACACAATTCATAATAATTAAAATAGTGTATACTATATACTTATATTTTATAATATACAGCTTATATTAAATAATATGTATGTGAATATTTAATCAGACTTAAGATTTAAGTATAAAATATTGCACCGTTACCTAATTCTCTAACCTAGATCTTTTCTAATACATCATATTATGATTGAATAATTTAGGTAAAAATAGCTGTGTAAAATGGCTAGTATGTAGATAAGTTCAAACATTAGACAGGCAATAGCTAGAAATATGTTCAGGTGTATTAAAAACTAGAATATTTTATCATGTATTAAAAATTAGGTCATATTATTATTAAAAATGTAGGTGATTTACAAAATTGACTAAAATAAAAAAATAAAATATTATAAATAACTATATTAGTTGATTGAAAATTCATGATTGATATAAAATGGTTTTTTAAATGTTCAACAACCATTTCTTTACCTTCTACTTTCAAATTCAAAACATAATTTTTCTTATAAACCAATATATATATATTTTTTTTTTTTTTGTAGATTTCTATACTATATTAGATCATAAACTTTGAATAAAACAAACACAAAATATTATAACTCATCTGCAGTATTATAAATTGGAAAAATTTCTGAAGGTATAAAAGCTATAAACCGAACATATTATTTACAACTGAGTGTCAATTAGCCTACCTAAAAGTATGAAATAAGATTCAATTAATGATACAAGTTACTTATCTAGTGTAGTATAAAAGAATGTAATGATAATTAAACTTTGAGGAACATTTCAAATTGTCATTATTTTCATGGACATTTTTATCACCAAGTACCCTCATAAATAATATAATTGGAAGACATTTAACATTTAAACAGACCTTACTAATAAAGGCAGTGAATAAATATATTTAATTGATAAATATAACTGATCATTCTAAACTTTTATGTTATTTTATTATAATAATAATTATTATAATCCATACCTTTTAATGAAACAACTTGATTATATTTTACTTGTATGACTTTATCAAACGCAGCATCTACATCATCTAAATTAAATAAATTAAAATCTTCCACATTGCACAAAGACTGAGAAAAGAAAATGATTACATTGGTACTTTAAATATACAACAAAAAATGTATTAAAATAACTGATTGAAAACCATACTTGATGTAAATCATACATGAACATTTGTCCCATTTGGTAAACAGGTATAGTAGCATAGACGGGACAGTTTAAACCGCATTTTCCAACAAGATACGGCAAAATTCCAAGATGAAAACGATCTGGGTGCGATAATAAAACCGCATCTATTTGATGGATGTACCTACCAACAGACGGTACATTTAGTTATTATTTGTATGTCAGCTTACAAAAAATGGTCTAATCAACCTTTTTAATTTATTCACAACACCCATGCTAAAACGTTCATCCCATCCACAGTCCAACAAGAATTTAAATTCGTCAATTTGTAATAAATAGCATGGTGGCGATTCATCATGCGCACCCGACAAGGTATAAAATTTTATAATTGATGTCATATTATCGAAGATAATTATAGTATTCTTATTCAAAATTGAATTCCGTTGTTTAAAATCGTAACAGCGGCAAACAAATGGCCACTAATAAAAAAGTGACATCGGTAATTAATATTTCATGAAACAAACGTGGTTGAGAATACAGCATCGAGATTTGAGAAGTAAGAATTCTAGGATGTGAGTTCCATATTTATAGAAAATGAAATAATTAATTAAGCACGAAAAAACGAAATAACAAAAAGGAAACTTGAAATGTCAGCGGTAGTAAGTTCCAAGTGGTGATATGGTGCCATTGTCGTGATCGGAATAGAATAAAGTTTGAATAGTTTGATCTACGTCCTATCCGCTATCGTTGAACATAAATTAGTAGCATTTGACATTCGGAGCAATATTCTTTGGATCATTATTTTATCGTACCACCATGGAATGGATTATCATAGCAGTTGTAACAACCCAACTTACCGTTTAGGTAATTGTATATATATTTTTTGATATTATTATATATTTTTATCTTGTTGCAATTATTGCAGTGTAGCCGTGTAGGGAATGATGTTGAGCCACGGCTGAACTTACTGTGTTGGGTCTGTTATCAAATAAAAGCAAATAGGTCCATTAATCCATGGACCATGACAATGCATTAATCATCATTTGTCATAATATTACAATTTTAATATTATTATTTATATTCTATTTATTGTAATTGTAGGCATTTAAGTCAAAACTAAATAAATGTTAACAATTAACAGTATTATAGAATGGTGCAAAAATTGATTTTAATTTTAATATTGGCATAATTATTTTTGAATTTCATTGACTTTAAAACCATGAGTTTCAACATGAAAAAACCTAGTGCAGTGTTAAAAAATAGTCGTTCTATTGTGGAGAAAAAAGAAACAGATGAAGATACTTCTTCAAAATTATTGATTTGCGAATTATCTCCCCAAAAAAATCAAAAGATTAAAAGCAGGTAAGTGTGTGACGCTGTCATCAAACTGTGTTATTGTTTCTATCAGTGGC